CTAGTAGCTAGCTTGAGTTTTCAAAACTCTAGTTCACTTCTGAGCTGCTTGAAAACAGCCTCTATCGCACTTTCCATGGCTACTATCGACCCTGGTAGAGTAATGGCCGCTTCCTTCTCGGCATCTGTACGAGCTTGTCTCTTTTTTTTGCGTAAGTTGGCAAGCTGGGAACTGGAGGTCAATCAAGTCAGTGGATCTTGGTATGCCTCTCACAAATCAGGAGCCTTGCTCACAGAACATCCCTTAACTCCTCCTCCAAGTCAAGTAAGTGTATCAACTGCTCTTCAAATTTTTTAAGCGTCCCATTTGACATTGCATCCAATTGACATCTTTTCTGTCTTTCCCATTGATTGGCAAAGTAATCAATGGTGTACTCGGGATTCTGGGTTTGTAGTCTCTGGAGAACTACTTTAGCCTCTGCAAGAGTCTTCTCAGCTGTACTCAGTTTTGTAGAAGCCGATTGAGCTCTTAAAATTCAATTTGAGTCTCAGTTATTCAAATACCTCCAAGAATTTATACACAGAGAAAACTTACCCGCGTTAATGCACAAAACTTCGTTTCGATGGGCGGTTTTCAAATTGATACCATCCATACGGTGTTGCTTTGTCGCATACCGGTTTGGACTAATCAATGGCGAAAGATGACTCCAATTTCTTTCCAAGCCTTCGCCATCCAAAAGGCCCCACCCCTTGTTTAGCCTTGGATTGTAGAGGAGCTGACAAGACCATTCTTGCACATATGCATGGAATGCACTTGTTCCAAACTTAAGTCCAGGCCTTCAAAATTTGTCTTGGAATAATTTGTTCTAAAGTTAAAAAACTGGTTAGGTTGTGAGTTGTGAAAAGGAGAACCGTATGGCAAAGCGCTTGCCTTGTGAATACTTTTCTCCAAAGTACATCCGATATCGTAAAGAACAGCCACTCTTTTTTTTGGCTTATCAGCTTCGTGGATCCGTTCAAAGAGTTGATCAATCATTGCCAGGACGTAACACTGCCTAGATATGTGTATAGATCATGAGTAAAAAAATTATAATTCTGGACAAAGCTTGAAGCTCACCGTTCACCTGTCTGGACAACATTCACATAGGAAAGGATGTGATCGTGTTGACACGCCATTCCAATGAGGCCTGTCTCGTCACATCCTTTCCACGTTGCACCACCTCAGTGATCAGCTGCAGCAGTGTGCTGAGGGCTACAGGGATCCTGAAGGAAAGAATACATATGTACGCAGTTAGACTAATTGAGAACATATGGTTTCTTATATCAGGATTACATACTGATTTGATTGCATCCTTGTTCTTTTTGATTCCTCCGACCTCCCACTCGACAACCTTTTTCGGATCAATGAAAAGAGATGGAATGATGATCTCTTTCTCTTTGTATTCTTGGCTAGCAGCTTTGTGTCGGCGGTGTTAAAAATTACCGTCAACGCACACCACATAGTGAGGCTCATCTAGGTCGTCGTCATTTGTCTCGTAGTCTTGAAGGGGGGCCAAAACATCTCGGGCAGTTCTTGGCCAACTGCTCAAGAGGGCTCAGTTTCAATGACTTGATAGACAGCTCCTCTTCCAGCCTGAGCATGTGTCTATAAGCATTGATTGCCAATGAAAAAGTTCGGCGCCACCGTCGAGGCTACATTGACACATGAATCCAATTGCTTATCAGTCAGTAAGTGATGAAAATGACCAAGAAAACTTACAACTACCTTATTCAAACCCCTAGCTAGAATCAGTGCATTGAATGCGTCAAGGAACTCGTCCAGAGCAAGGGCAAATCCTTGCGTCCGAACGGTGCAGTACTTCCACAGAACGTGATGCAAACAAAGAAGACAAATCGAATACGCTGTTTGAGGGTGAATTGGCGAGCCACCAATGTATCCCTTTCAAACTAAACAAACTTGATCTGATGTACATTTGCAAAACGTCACCGCCTCCTGATTTCGTTCTATGATATCATGAGATCATATTAGTAAGTAAGTATAAGTAAGTCTAACAATCATATAAACTTGAAATGACAAACCCAGTATGTCAACCATATCCACCAATCGAGTGCGTATGTCTCCTACACCACATGAACACGTCATATTGCAATCCATACTCCATGATTGATTGTTGCCACATTGGGAGGTCTTTTGAGAACATATCATATACGTGAGGAACATCGGACCGAGGACTTTGGTCCAATTTCTGGCTTCTGTAAGCTGCTTTTTCTTGTAGTACAAGCCGCGTATGTATTCTCCAAATGTTGAATTGGGATTGAGGGTAGCATCTTCTGTGTCTGAATCTGGGGGTGAGTTGTTTCGAAGCTGTTCCATTTGCTCAATAGGATGATTGTTTGAATCTTCTTCATCCAAACTTCCTGTGGGATCGATCACTGGCTCCTCAGTTTGGTGATGAGGTTGAGGCAATGCAGCAACAGCTTGTTCAATTTGACCAATACAATCCTGAACCCAGAGTGACTCATTTGCTTGAAGTTCAGCAACAACTTGAGCAGAGCCTTCGGGTGCATCTTGCTTGCGTTTTTTCTTCGAAGGGCCAAGTGGGCATTGAATAGTTTGTCCCTTTGGAGCCATTTTGAATAAATTGAAGAAAAATTAAGTAAGGATGAAGATGGCAACGGATAGATTACCAATCAATACCTTGAGATCCCAACGTCTTTGTTTTTTCATTTTATTGAAGGGGTACATGCTATTCTCATTCTTCCCGATTAGGTATCTAAACTGAACTGAGATGTCTGTTTGGGTACCTACTCAACTGCGGTCGGTGTTCCTTGTCTCCAACCTATGCCAAGGCCGTATTCACAACATTGGCATGTTATTGAATCACCTTGTTAGAGAGATCAGCATCATACTCACAATGGAAAAAAAAGATAACTTTGTCATCTGTAGAAAACAAAGCCAATGCGATAGAGTTATATATGTGCAATACATCTATCTCAAATCATTGAGATTCTCAATGGCTTTGTTACCGTAGGAAATGGGGATAAATCAACACCTTATGGGTGTTCTCATAACAGGACAATTCTGGTGGTAATAAGTGAAATAAAGTGATTGCAGCAATCATTCATATGATGCCTCTATTGATAACATTATGACCTTTGAAGGACTTGTGCTTTGTAGAAAGGGAAAAACTTACGAGTTGTACGTGCCCAAAAGACACACAGGTCATCCAATATTGATTGGACTTCAATAAAGTTCTTATGAGAATTGTTCAGATCAAAATTTGATGATGAGTTCATTTGGACACTTTTGAAAAAAAGCAACATCTTCTTGGGGTTTACTGGCTAGAGGATAATGGAGTCCCTTCTCCCATAACGTCAATAAAACCACAAAAACCCTTGTAAGTCAGTGGTCATGAGATATGACGGGGTATCTGTTATTTATAACTGATTAGAATATACCATAAATACTCCTGAAAAACAATCACCCTTCCTTCATCATGAGATCAATTGTTTGGATGGTGTTATGTAGGTATATTTGACCGTAAAACACAAAATATGTGCTTCTTAGAGCTGAAAATTTGTATGAATTTCAAAGTCATTTTGGGGTCAAACTTCATTATTAAACCCCCCTTAAAAAATCCTCAGGAATACACTGGAACACCTCCTGAATGTGAATGGTAGAAATTGAATGAGATATGGGCTCAGCAAAATGTGCATTGAATTTCAAATTGGCCATAGGTGTGTCAAGATGGTATTTTTTTGGAGGAATCCATTATTAAATGGAAAGTTAAATGTAATTTCCTACAACTTTTATTATTACAGTTCTGAGTTTGGGCCAAAATTGAGTAAGATATGAGCAGTTTGTGAAATTTACAGCACCCCAAAACATCACAAATTCGGCTAAGTGACTCCCAAGACATGGATATTTTCAAGAGTCATTATAAGACTCTGATTAAAATTATGTTAAATACAACTTTTATTATTACAGTTCTGAGATTGGGCCAAAATTGAGTAAGATATGGGCACTTGTGATATTTACAGCACCCCAAAACATCACAAATTCTGCTAAGTGCCCCCCAAGACATGAATACTTTCAAAAGAGTCATTATAAGACTCTAGATGAATTTCATTTCTCTACAACTTTTGTTTTTGAAGAATTCAGTTTGTATCAAAAGTGAGTGAGATATACACTTCTGCCCACCGGTGTATTTGCCTTTGCAGCCCAAAGATGTGCATCAGAGAAACAATATGTACATAGTCATGTAACATTTAATGGTTTTATCCTTATTACATACACATGTACTGACGTTATGGTCCTAATGTCACATCCGAAATACACACCCAGGTCCCAGGCCTTCTGCTCACACGGTTTTCATAGCTTACGAAGCCTCACACAATTGAACATTCACCTGGATACTCTGATATTGCTAGTCGTCACTTCTCCTCTCATATCAAATAACTCTCTGCCGTATATTATCAAAACATATCAAAACGTGCTCCGGTATCAACTCTGGAGTCCATATTACAATCACCTTTACTTTTTGGTGAGTTCAACATAATATCAATTTCATCTCTGATTTCCAACTTTTTCCAACCCTGACAATTAGTTCAATACAAACATTCTTTCAATCCTCATAAGAATTACACTACTAATTCTTTTCTATCTTCACTCTTCTAGGCCTATTGATTTTCGACGGCCAATCATCACTTTTGAACAATTTGAATTCAACGTACATACTGATCAATAGCTCACTCACAATCACCGCCAAATCATTGTCAATTGTGTTTAGGAGGTTCTCAACACAATGGTTCGAATAACAAGATCAGGAGCACAACACCGGTCTCCGACTACTCAATCTGTGTCAAACATATCACAAGTTCCCCGTCAATCCATGATGTCTCAATCAAATAAAAAGTCAACCAAACGACCTGCTCCGGCAAAATCGACTAGAGTGAAATAGAAGTGTGTTCAAGCAGTTGTCGAACCGGAACCTATCAACACTCAGACATTTGACAATGACAGTATAGAAGATGAAACTTACAACCCTTTGGACCTGCTTGATGATCTCGATGACGACATCGACGACCCTTTCACTCTGCCTCCACCGCTGTCTCCTCACCCCGATCTGGAGCAAACTCAACCTTCCACCAGGAAAGCTGCCCTCATACAAAATCCAAGAAGTCATGTGTCTGACTCAGATTCAATCTTACCCACCATCTCCACTTACAAGGAAGCTGCAAAGGATTGGCCCAAAACTCGAATCTCAAACTACACTTGGGGTAAGGAGCTTGGTAATGTGGTACCTCCGAAAATCTTGGACGAGTTGAGAGCTATTCAAAAGCTTTATCATCATCCCAAGTTAATGCTGGCGATGATGGGAAATGTCTCTATATTTACTGTCAACAAAGCAATGTGAGTTAATCTCTTGACACGCCACCTGTGAAGATATTGATTTCTAATTTGACCTATCACTCAGCGGGGAGCTTGACAAGAAACGAAAACAGGATGGCTTTCATTTATGGTTGAGCTATGGTATTGATGCTCTGAAGTATAAAAGTAAGTGCAGGACATGTGTGTACAATTTGGATGTCAAACTGACATCATCACACTCAATTGTTATAGTGCCTCGTTCAGCAGAGATTGGTGCACTTGGTCAGCGAAATAAAGACCTAGCAAAAATGTGGAAGGCTTACCCAGTCGAGCGGCCGGCAGTTTTTGATCCTTCTATATTCTACGACTTATCAGGCCTACCTCGACCTCCACCGAAATCTGGAGACCAAGCTGATGGTGATGAAGACAAATTGAGTAGCAGCTTAACTCCTGAGGAAAGAGAAGAAATGCAGAGTTTATATGACGAGATGGTATGTGTTGAAAAAGTGGCAAGTGTTTATGCCAAAGTGGCTGCTGGGAATCCAACGGGTGATTTGCTTCCTGAATTCAATCGAAAGTCACTCAAACGTGTTAACCAGTTACATGACCAAGTGAGTTAATGGTTTCATCTTTTATTTTAATATCAATTTATTGACTTAACTTTGATATGTGCGTTTAGATCCACAACGAGTCCAACAATATGCAATTTGTGTACTATTTTCTTGCAGCTGGTACTCACGCGGCCTCCGATGGAAAATCAGCAGAACCGGCATGGTGCCGGGAATACACCTCTCACGATGAAATGGCCGACTACGCCAAGGATAAGGCTAATTTCCCTGAAATATTTGCAACTCATGTGCAAGGCCTATTGATTAGTGAGGTGGTTTCAAGACATAATGGAAAAAATAGCAAGGCTGTCCCAAAGACAATCACACCTACTGACTGTGTCAAGGGAGAATTATCTGCTTCTTTGCGTGCGGAACTGAGTAAGTTCTATTCTCACATCAATTAGCTGAAAGGAATCAAACTGATGAAAGTTCATCAGAACGGTTGCTCAATGCCAGTCCTACTAAAGGATTCCCTCGTGGGCCGAACCCTCACAATCTTCTCAAAAAAAGGTATCCAAACTTCAGGATTGTTCAGCATCCTGGGTCAAAGCTTACACCTGGAGTATTGAATTTAGGCTTCAGGGGTATGAACAGCAAAAGAGATCTTTGGCTTGATGATATGAATAATGGTAAATTTGTGTTACAGAAAGTGTCTGATGAGAAAATCGAAGAAGATAAGGATAGTGGAGCGGATAGTGAAGAGGAGTGGGGTGGATTGGGTGATTTCTAAACGCCAGATCGGGCAATTTCTGAATGTCAACTCTGATATTTGTTTTGTATCTCAAACTCATTTTTTTAGTTTTCTCACAAGATTGGCTTAGAAGAGTAAGACTCTTATCAAATTTATGAAATATTGGTGAAAAGCTCTTCCCGAGTCTTATCTTTGTTCTGAATCAAATGAAATGTGTTCTAAATAATTGCATTGATTGTAATTCTATTGACTGAGTTGATTTTTTCATCGATCGATCGTATTTGAATTGATCTGTTCTCTTCTTTTTCCTTTCAATTCCATACATCGATCATATTTCAATTGTGTTGTTTCCTCTTCATGTGATTCTATCACATGAATTGTTTTTTTTCCATATTGGTACCTATATCAAATACATTGGCTCTCATTGGCTTCATCAGAAAGTATTGAGTGTGAGATCGTTGCTTTAAGACATGAAATCCTTTGTCTTGTGTGGCCCGTGGGGACAGTATATGAAACAAACTACGCCCGTGTGTATTGTAATTTGTATTATGTCAGTTGTATGATTTGAACCTATGTGGACTGGCTCTTTTTGGGTCAAAAATCTGATAAATTTTGAGTGTACATAATCCAAATTGCTTTTATTGTATGAAGAGATTCTATAGGATTCTGTGTGTTTTTTACAAAGTGTTATGCGGTCTCTTTGTTGATTCACCATTTGATAAATATCGGAACACATTGAAACCAAAAAAATGATATATTGTTTTGTTTTGTTTTTTCTCATTGGTTCATTGGTTCAATCTGTGAGATAAATAAGATGTTTGTCATCTTTTGTTCAATCTTCAATAATGAATTTATTATCTGCTGTCTATGATCAATCTTGAATAATGAATTTTTGAATCCATCATCCGGAGTCTCAACTCAAGTTGGACTCTCGGATTATGGATTCAAAGATTGATCATTCAAGATTGAGTTGAGTGTGAGTGTTTCCGGTCAAAGAAAATCTAATAAGGATATTAAGGATGTAATCAGATGAGTGATCAGTGATGTTGGGTGTTAGTTTAGGTAACATCGTTTGAGTGAGTTGTTGATAGACTGATATGTAGGTATGAGAACCAGTCAACATTGATAAGTCCTTGAAGTTGAAGTGAGACGGTGTGTTAATGAGACAGTCGGTGGCGGTGAGTGGTCGATGTTGATTGATGTAGTTAACGTGAGTCTTGATCTTGAGTTCTTGGAAGTGGGACAGTCGGCGGTGAGTAGTTGATGTTGATGTAGGATGTATGTATGTACTTGATGAGGGTTGAGAATCGAGATTGAGGAGGGGTGAGTGTTGAGATGAGTGGTACATACATATGTAAAAGTGGGACTTGGTGAAAAAAGGTCCTGCAGATGGGACTGGCAGTGGGACTTGTCAAAAAAAATCCCTCCAGACGTGTCTGGAAGGCTCAGCAGCGAGGAGACTGCAGACACATCTGGGGTGGGGAGTGAGACGTGTCTTGTAGGTGAGGGACTTGGCCAAAAAAAGGCCGCAAGACCTGTCTTTTGAGTCGTGGAGTCCTACACGGAGAGCACGGTGGGAAGCCGAGCTGGAATACTTGATTTTCCTCGGGTAGTTACCCAGGGGTCTAGTAGCCACAGGTGCTCTAGCTTGTAGACCACACCATCTGTAGCTCTGTTCTCTATCTGACAATCTATCAGATAGACAGAACCACCTTTCTGAGCCTCTGACCTCAAAGAGAACCAACCCCGACCCCTGTCCTTAACATATTGTCAGATCTAAACCAACAAGCTTTGAGACAGCAAGAACGAAGATTTTCTCACTAGATTTGAAACCCTTTAACCCCGACGCATAGACCATCAGAGAAGATTACCGAATTGATTTGAACCTAGATTATTGAATACCACCTGCAGATCCAACCTTAATTAGAACCTGAAGAAAAGACTGAACCAAATTAATTAGTTGAAGCGGAACTTACCACGGACTCGGATCCAGAACTCAGTATACTTTAATTCAAAAGATTAAAATTAGATCCAGATCTCACCTTTGCACATTCAAGAATCAGCTACCACGTCTCCATGATACAGAACCCCCACGGACAACGTTGACTTGGATAGTGAACCCGAAACCGACTTCGTAGACGTACTAGACTCCAATTTAGAGACCTCGCCTACTACGATGGAGAACATCCAACACCAGATCGCCGAACTGCAGAACGCTCTGTACTTGGAGCGGCAGTTGCGAGAACAAGCCGAAGCCAATGGCAGACGGGCAGAGGAACGCCTTGCCGCTATTGAGGCTTGGCAGACCACACCAGCCAATGCTTCTAACGCACAGATGCACCAACACTCTACTACCAGTGCACCTGCATCACACCAAACACCCACATTGGTCCCAAAGGGTCCTAAGGTGTCGGTCCCTGATAAGTTCAGTGGGATTCGAGGAGGTCCAGCCGAGGTGTTTGCCAGTCAGATCCAATTGTATATGCTAGCACACCCTTACACAGTGCCCGTGGAGAAGTCCCCCGACGTCGGGGGCCCAAAGATCTTGCGCAAAAGTATCAAAAAAAGTGTGAAATTTCTGTCCAGGCCAAATTGGTACGCTGAGCCTGCCCAGTTTGCCCCATCCCCAGGCACCAGACTCAGGCGTTGACCTCAGAAGCACTGAGCCATCGTCCAACTTCATCAACAGTGATGAGCCGGGATGAGCCGGGATGAGCGGTCCTGCCCTATCCTGCCCTGATTGTATGAACCCATGGGGGATCCGTCAAAACATATGCTCAATCAACCAAGTCTACTTCTCCTGTACCACCGCCTCCTCCACATTACACTTTTCAACCAAAACCTCCACATCACGCTATCCAACCAAGACCATCGAGTAGGAGTAATAGTACCAGTGCACCTTTAAACTCAACTCATTGTCATCATCCTCAACTGCATTTACCATCTCAATCAAACCAAATTACCACCCATCACCTCTCACTCAAGCTATCCTTCTCAACCTCCACCTCATCCATCTCGATCATCCATCAATCCACATCTTCACATCACCCTCATCCAGAACTTCCTCAAATACAAATACCAATCAAATGCATTCTCAACAGCAGCAGCAATTTCATCGTCCTGTAGCAAGCTCATCATCTAATCTACCTCGATTGCATAATCCTGAACCTAGGTGCGTACCACCCAATCCGAACTTCATCTACAAACATCTCCCATTCAAGCTCAGGATCAGCTCTATCCTCTGCCTTTGTCAAGCCATCTCTGCCGTCATCATCCCGATCAAAGCAATCCTCATTCGTTGTCTTTTTCCAACTCTAGATTTGTGAATCGGTATGCCCACGTCCCACTCCTAACATTCCTTGGTAAGTCTTCTTCTTTATCCAAACACTTCATCAAAAGTAAACCAAAACAAAGAAAAAACTAATTCTTTCTTTCTTGCTTTTTTTGTGAATGTAATGTAGGTTCATTCGGCCACCTGCTATTGCTCTCTGAGGTCCTGAATGTTATACACATTTAGTTTATGATTTACAAGTAGATCATATCATTTGTTTGAAATTCGGAATCTCTAGAGCTTTAAGTTTAGCAATTGTCTTAGGTTCTGCAATTGTTAAAATCCCTCAAATCCCTCAAATCTTTAAGTCTCAATCGGCTCGTGGTCTTAGTTTAAGTAGTTTCATCTTAAATACTTTAGGATTAATTATCATTATGGGATATAATTATAGACATGATTTTCCTACTTCAACATACGGTCAGTCATCTTATTTCATTAAAGGTTGAATTGATTTTTGCCTTTTTAAACTGATTCGATGATTTTCTTTCTTTTTCGAGTGAAATAGGTGAAAGTTTTCTATTATTCATTCAAAACTTAATCATCACCTCTCTAATAATCTCACTATCAAATCAATCAAACTCAACATTCCTATCGATCCTATCACTAATCTTACCGATCACAATCCTAACGATCTTATTAATTCCAATTTCACCAATCTCATTAACTGTATTACAAGCTTCATTGACTATAATGATTCCATTATCACTTTCATCTAAACTTCCTCAAATCTTAATCAATTTTCAAAAAAAAATCAACCGGTCAACTATCTTCATCTTTAGTTCTTCTTTAGGTTGTTTGGCTAGATTGTTTACTACTTTTTACTGAAACTGGTGATACAACTTTACTTTTTAATTTCGGCGCTGGTACTTTACTTAATGGGATTGTATCTACAAATGATTTTGTATTGGAAAGATTTGACTTCTTCTTCAAGTAATTTGTCTTATCATCAAGTTAATTCATCTGATTCATTTGAATTATCTCATTCTACTTTGATCTCTTCTTCTGATACTTCTTCAATTAAAAGATTAATTCAAGTTCTTCAAATTCACCTCAACCTAGAATCAATTTAAATAAACCAAAACAATGGACACGTAAAGCAGATCAAAAATCCTTGGTCTCTTTTTCTTTCCTTTCTTACTTTTTTGGTCTTTCTTAATTTTAATTAATCTTTTCATCTCATTCTTTTTTTTTGTTTGATAATATGATTTGATTTATGTGTTTGATTCTTTGTGTTTGATTCTTTTATTTGACAGGGAGGGGTTAGTTTTCTATCTAGTAGAATGATTTTGATTCATCTATCATCTTATGATGATTTTACTCTTCAAAAATCAAATTAAATAACATCTTTGTTCTTTTTTTCTTCAAAAAGGGATTCTGAGAAATTTTGTTAAATTTGTGAATGTTTTTGGTTTAGAAGGAAGAGAAAAAAAGAAATTCAAAATCTAAGTATGATTCCCATAAAAATAAAGAAGAACTACAGAGAACTACTCCATTTATTTTGTACTGAACCCAGATCTACCCTAACCAAACCATTGGAAAAGGAAGCTATATAAGAAGTGTGGCTTCATTCCTTTATCGGCTCCTACACAGTCATACGTCTCACCTAAGATCAGATTACTTCATGCGGTGGAACCAATTGATCAGTATAAGAAGATGATATGCTAGATAATGATTTGGATGAATGATGGTTTCCGTGTCGAGTGACCTTTGAGCATTGAGATCCGCAAAATTGAGACCAAGTCCGAGAGAAGGTCCACCACTTGACTCCGAGCCTTTAGTCTTTGTCGCTGCTTTTTGACGTCTTTATTGGCGCTCATTTTCTTTGACACCGCTGTTAGTAACTAGAGACTTTGAGACGCTTGTCCAGCGTACAAGGTCAGAGTCCGAGAGAGACTTGATGTGCATAACCAGGGAGCCACCGAAATCAATATGAATTCACTTCAAACATTGAGATATTGAGATTGATGTTAGACTGATGCAGACTGAATCCCCGATTCTTGACTGAGGTGAAAAATAGTACGAGAGGGTAGCAGGTTGATTGGTCAGATGGAGATATCGCCTCACAAATCCTGTGGGGAATGAAAGAAAGAGACAGTCAGATTGCGGTAGCAACAAGCTTGGTAAGTGAGATTGGTCAAACTTGCATTTTTGCGCTTTTTCTTGAACATCCCAATATCAGAGTGATGGTCCATGGAAGAAAGGGTTAAAAAGATACATAGAGAGAGAGAAATGGACTGACCATCCTTCAAGAAGCGGTCAGCCAATCATAGAAGTTGGCTCAGGTGGTGATAGGAGGAGTTATCCAACAGTTGACCACTCATCTGATCTGACAGGATCTGACCCCGCAGGCGTGTCCAGACGTGTGAGCTGGCTCTCCAATGTGGAACAGGCAATGGTCACCAGGTTTTCTTGGGGCAAGGATAGTTCATGGGGAGCTTCCAGGTGTTCAGTGAGGAACACTGAGCGTTCAGTAGGGGAAAATGAGCATCCAGTTGTTAATGCTGAGCGTTCAGGGCCGCTTGTCTCCTAGTCTGCCTGAGGCTTGACTCAGACCGATGAAGTTCAGCATAAGGAATATTCTTCCAATCTTCCCCTTTGTGGATAATTGTACGCGTTTGGGCCACAAAAATCACACAAATGCAACAAAATTGCCAAGATCTTTGGGCCCCCGACGTCGGGGGCCTTCTCCACGGGCACTGTGTTACTTGTTGGAGAACGACCGTAGCAAGGTTGTTTTTGCGTTATCTTACCTCACTGGTACGGCAAGCGCGTGGGCCCAGCCGTTGACAATCGAACTACGCAACGCCGAAACTGCTCATCTAGTCACATTTGAACGTTTTGTACAAAATTTTGAATCCATGTATTTTGATACTGAAAAAAAGGCTAAAGCCGAGAAAGCACTCAGGTCATTATCCCAGAAGACCACTGTAGCCGCCTACACTCATGAATTTAATCTTCACTCACATAAAACCGGATGGGAAGTTCCGACCCTTAGAAGTCAGTACAAACAGGGTTTAAAGAAGGATATTAGAGTGGCAAGGGTCCTATGTCAAGAGGAGTTCAACTCCATCAAGCAAATCTCAAACCTCGCCATCAAATTAGACAACAAGCTTCATGGAACTATTGACACCTCAATCAACCAAACGGCTCCAGTATGAGACCCTAATGCAATGGATGTATCATCTTCTTTTGTCCGTTTAACCGAGGAGGAGAAGCAGAGAAGATTACGTACCGGGTCGTGTTTCAATTGTTCTAGACAAGGTCACCGTGCCAATGAATGCCCTAACTGTAGAAAGAAGGGCAGAGACTTTTATGGAGCTAAGATTGCTGAATTAGAGGGGAAGCTGGAGGTGTTAGGAGTTAGAGATCATGTGAGAGGAGAGGGTAGTTGTCGTGCCAACGAGTCAAAAAATGGAGGCACTCAAGCCTGACGGTTGTGCCAAGCTTGAGTAGGGAGGACTATCAGGGTATTTTAGAATTAGGAGCTAGCACTGTTGTAATGTGCAATAATGACAACCCACATCTATTTCTGCCAGTTTCTTTTTCTCTGACCCATGTCCCCCGAGCCACACCTATTAAGATACCTCCAGCCCGCCTCCTGGTTGATTCAGGAGCTCCCCATAATGTATTAGGCAAAGCTTACGCCTCAAGAGCCGGCCTCCTCCGCCACACAGTGCGTACCTCAAGAGATGTCACTGGATTCAATGGATCCAAGTCAACATCATCTTACAAGGTGGACCTATTGATCAATCGATCACAACAACAACCCCTCACATTTCATCATCACAACCATCAAGAACACGTATGACGGCATTCTTGGGATGCCTTGGATCAAGGACAATCACCAACGTATCGATTGGACAACTGGAACCATCAGACCGAGTATTGACCACCAAGACGCCTTTGCGACTGTCATATCAGTCTCGTCAGAGCCGAAAACCCCCCCGGAGGACTCGAATGAAGTACTAAAGGGGAAAGCTAGGAACTTTGACGAGGGGGCTTGTATTAACCATAATACTTTTGAGTCCCCGCAATGTGAGTTCAATACCATTCCTTCTAAGACTGTCACCAAAGCAGCTGGCAAGCTTGTTTGCCCCCTAGAATTCGCACCACAGACACCAGATATCCCGGATCAGCCCACGACTACTACGAAACCGCCTGACTTAGACGAAGAAACGTTGAAATCGACCGCCATTGCAACTGTACTGTCAGTTTCGTCACACCCGCATCAATCCTCTGAAGGCTTGAAGGAGAGACCAACAGGGCAAGCTAGGGAATCTGACAAGGGGGCGCGCAACATTTTGTCTACGCACATGCCCCCGCAATGTGAGTTCGACTCGCACCCTTTATCTTCATCTCACAAATCAGCTGGCAAGCCTATTACCATCCAGGATTTTGAGACACAGCACAAAACAAACCCAACGACCCTGACCAACGCACACATCAAGACTGCACTCCCGTACCCACCTGAATCCATTGCGACTGTCCTACCAGTCTCGTCAGAGCTGAAAACCCCCCCCTGAGGACTCGAATGAAGTACCAAAGGGGAAAGCTAGGAACTTTGACAAGGGGGCTTGTATTATGATTAATACTTTTGAGTCCCCGCAATGTGAGTTTGATGCTGCCTTATCATTACCTTCACCCGAATCAGCTGGAAAGCCCCTTTTCCCCTTAAAGTTTGACTCACAGATCAATGTCGACGTGGCACGTACATCATGGTCGACGTGGCACGTACATCATGGTCGACATCAGCACGGTTAGCTGCCGATGAGAAGAAGAACCAACCCAAGAAAACAGTACGAGAAATGGTACCCGCCATTTACCACCGCTACCTCCACATGTTCTCCAAAACCCAAGCCTCAGTTTTACCACCACGACGCAAATACAACTTCAGAGTGGACCTAGTCAAAGGAGCCCAACCCCAGGCCAGCCGAATCATACCTCTGTCACCTGCGGAAACCGAGGCTCTGGAAGAGATGGTGAACACAGGACTCGCCAACGGCACTATCCGTTGTACAACCTCACCATGGGCGGCACCAGTGCTGTTCACCGGCAAGAAAGACGGCAAACTCAGGCCCTGCTTTGACTACCGCAAACTTAATGCACTTACAATCAAGAACAAGTATCCACTGCCGCTCACTATGGACCTTGTGGATAGCTTGCTTGACGCTGAGGACTTCACAAAGTTAGATATGCGGAACGCATACGGTAAACTCGGACGGCGAGATGCACCCCGTAGCGTATCTATCACGCTCATTAGTCCAGGCGGAACACAACTACAAGATTTTTGACAAGGAGTTATTGGCAATTGTAGCTTCCTTTGAAGAATGGAGGCACTACCTCAAAGGCAACCCCAATAGGCTTGACGTCATTGTTTACACGGACCACCGCAACCTGGAATCCTTCATGACTACCAAGCAACTGACAAGACGACAGGCCAGATGGG